GCTAAGAGGCAAAAGTGTGCAGGACTTTGTAGAGATTTTACAGGCAGCCTTATAACAGACTCTTCAAATCTAGGGATTTTTATCCACAGGAAATTAGTCTGTGGAATCTTTAAGGTTTCTTCAGGTGTCCAATGCCTCAGGGGTTAAGGCACAAGATGCAGAGACTACCTGTCTAAGGAAAACATTGACTGACAACTAACCATCTTAATTCTGTCTTAGATACATGCATATACATACATACATACATACATATATATATATATATATATATATATATATATATATATATATATATGTATAAATGTCTATATATATATATATATATATATATATATATATATATATATATATATATCTGTTTCTCTCTCTCTCTCTCTCTCTATATATATATATATATATATATAAATACATTATGAAATGGACAAAGTCAAACAATTATTTAAAAATTTTTTATGTTTAACTTTCTTTTTTATAGATACAAGTATTATAAACAGAGCATTTACTAAAATACTTGTATCTATAAAAAGAATATTAAACATAAAAATGTCTTTAAATTTATTTAAATGTATGCATAATTAGGCAGCATATCTTCATTTAAGTTTCTAGTTCTCTAATTATCTTGATGTTAAGTGGAAATTTATCAAGGAAGGCAGCATTATTATATATATAATTATATATATATATATATATATATATATATATATATATGTACAAATTTCAAAGAGGATAGAATCCAGGTAGAACTTAATGTCCAGGACAGAGTAAGAATATAATATAAAAGGCTCAAACACTAATATTCCATGGTTATAATTTATTACATTGGAATCATAATCATGATTCAATTCATCAAATCTACAAATTCAAAAATATACATTAAATAATGTTGACATATTATGTCTATTTATTTTTTAAATAATCCTTTCTAGTTCTCTAATTATCTTCTTGTTGTTAAGTTGAAATTCATCATGGAAGGCACCGTACTTTTTGTTGATCCAAGTACTTTTGATCACCTCTGAGATCATCCTCGGGGTTGAATTATGAAGGCAAACTTAATGTAACTGTAATCTTGTGATAGCGATTTTACAAACATGTACGAACGTACTCTGCTATAATTACTTTTAAAATTAACCATTGTTTTTACAATGTTTTGTAAACAAGCGTTCCTAATGTGAGGGGGATAACCTGACATGGGAAATTCAAAAATGATGATTTAAAACATTGCTACTACATTTGTTATAAATTTGATTCAGATTTAGTTGCTTTTGATATAGAGGGCCTCAAGAATTTGAAGTGTTTGTTTATTATTTTTGTGGCATAGTATATTGGTGTTGTCAACAAGTATTTTCCTGTATTGTGAAGGTGGACAGAAATGTGTTTTTAGATGTTGTGCAATAGAACTTTTATCTGACAAGTGAAGTGTAAGACGTCTTGATAATGTTGTGCCTTTTTGTCAGAGATGCAATTTCACAACGTTCACTTGAAATGATATACAATGCTGGCCTTCTGCAAAATACACTTTTGACGGAGAAGAGTTATTGTGTTACATTTAGTACCGTATATAATTAGTTTTATCTTTTTGTTGTTAGTACTAATAAGTTTTCTAATGAGTTTTTTTTTTCATCTTGTTTATCGTTAGGATGCATTTAATTACTCTACAGGAGGTTGATATATTTAAGGTTATTTGAGGAAGTATTATGTTCTGTTTGATTGATGTTAATAATTCTAATGGCTTGTTAATTTGTTAGCAAAAAATACTGCGGTTTTCGTGATGAATTTCAACTTAACATAAAGAAGATATTCACAGAACTAGAAAGAATTATTATAAAATAGACATAATATGTCGACATTTTTAATGAAACAAGCTTGAATGAAGATATAAATATGGCAGCAAATTCGCCATATTTATTACTACATTTCGGCTGTTGTACACTCCGGCCTTCTTCAGGTGGTCGGAATGTTGAACAGAGTTCAACATTCCGACCACCTGAAAAGGCCAAGCACACAACAGCCGAAACATTGTAATATGGCGACAAAGATGAGGGCAATACTCCGAATAATCTAAATAGTGTACATAATACCTCATCTCAGAAATATAGACAGATTTTGTTTTTATTTTCACCCAAAATTGAAGCAAATAGATGCAGTTTGGAACAGCTCATGATCAAACCTAATAGACATTCATTGTTTGTTATATTTAACAATATATATATATATATATATATATATATATATATATATCAGCGCCTAAAAATTGCATTGTGCATGAAACTCTGTGTCATGCTATCGGTGAGTGATATGTATATTTATTAATAAAGGGTATTCCAATAACTTAGATTGATTTTAAATGTGATTGAAGTTTAAGTGTCTAATGATTTTTTTCTTTCAGATTTAGCAAACATTTGGCCAATATTATTTTTCACACATAATTGCCATGGCTTAAATCACATGATCTAATAGAGAAATAAATAAATTTTCACCAATAGCACTGATTTATTTACTGCTGACTTTGATCCATCTTAATGAAACACTCTTTATATATATGATCATATATATATAATCCATTATTTATTAAGCAGTATATTTACTTATTTTCGTCTGCCTGCTTGAATATTCAACAATATACTTGGTAGATGAAAATACTAAATAAACTGTTTGATAAATAAATGGTACATCTACTCAAATATGAGTAACCACTAAAAATAATGTTTAAGTAATATATATATATATATATATATATATATATATATATACTCATCCACAGACAGACAGACTGCTTCACTGTTTCACAGTTCATCAGTGTGGCTAGACATCCGATTACCTTAAAACCCAAATGATTTGGTATGAGTCAGAGATTGTACCATTAATCCATTGGTGCATGGCAGGGAGGAAGGCGAATTTAAACGTATTTATTTTTAGAGAAACACACCTGTGACTGGGAGAACGTGATTTGTTTTAACAAAGAGTCTTGCATCAGCAGCAGTAATACTCACTGTTTACAAATTCACTTTTCTCCCCAAGAGCTCAAAGAAAATAATTTTTTTCAGGAGCATATTATCATCCGCAGACAAACTGTTTTGCTGTTTCACAGCTCCTCAGTGCAGCTTGACATCTGATTGCCTCAACCCGGGATAAAAACACAACTGATTAGGTATCAGTAGGAGACTCTACCCGTAACCCATTGGTGCATGGTTGGTAGGAAGGTGAATTTAAACATATTTATTTTTAGATAAACTGCTGTGGATTCCGAGATGAATTCAGTCTCCAATGAAGAACAAACGCAATAATTAAATATAAGAAATAAAATGTATTTACACAATCATACAAAGGGTAATACTGTTAGTAAATCCAGGAACACGGTTAGTAGCAAATACAGATAGATATATACAGTCTCGAAGTAGATCTTCCTTAGTGTCTACGTGCTTGTAACTGACTTCTACAAGAGACTACCTCACACTATCTCCGTTTGTATATTCTCTCTCTCTTTCTGACTACCCTCTCACTATACGAATACTCTCACTGACCGTCTAACTTTGGGTATATAACGGCAAGCGTCCAGGTACATTTATATGAAAAAAGGGTGGACCCCATAACATAAACCTGCCTGTGACTGGGAGAATGTGATTTGTTTTAACAAAGAGCCTTGCATCAGCAGCAGTAATAGTCACTGTTTAAAATACACTTTTCTCCCTGAGAGCTCAACCAAAAAGCATGTATATATTGTCATCCACAAACAGACTGTTCACAGCTCATCAGTGCGGCTTGACATCTATTTGTCTCAACCTGGGATCAAAACCCAACTGATTTGGTATCAGTTAGGGAATCTACCCCTAAATCATTTAATTTCACATGCTTTACACCCACTCAGCCAAGGAAAAAAAAGTAAATATTTCTTTATCTAAATAAGTATATGATAATTCGAGTTTCTCTATGTGATATTCAGATGATAATATATATTCATAAGAGTGTGTGTATATCTAGTAAACATCATGTATTGAGGTTTTTTGCATTTAGAGTATCTGAAACATTGGGATAAAGACAGAAAAGACAAGGAAATTGGTCCCAAAGAATCAATGTATAATAGTAAGAACACCTTGTCTTAGAAATTCAGATAGAAAGAAGGCCAGAGGGTACAGCATCTGAAATATGGGGATAAAGACAAAAAAGACAAGGAAACTGGTCCCAAAGAATCAATGTATAATAGTAAGAACACCTTGTCTTAGAAATTCAGATAGAAAGAAGGCCACAGGGTACAGCATCTGAAACATTGGGATAAAGACAAAAAAGACAAAGAAACTGGTCCCAAAGAATCAATGTATAATCGTAAGAACACCTTGTCTTAGAAATTCAGATAGAAAGAAGGCCAGAGAGAACAGCATCTGAACCATTGGGATAAAGACAAAAAAGACAAGAAAACTGGTCCCAAAGAATCAATGTATAATAGTAAGAACACCTTGTCTTAGAAATATGGATAAAAAGAAGGTCTGTTTCACCCCTCTTCCTTGTCTCATTCATGAACATTGAAGAAATTTATCCAATCTTTTTTTTTTGACCAAATTACTCAGACTGCTGTGGAAACTGAAAAATGTCTGATGCTGCATGTCACTTACTACATTTTAATTATTAACACATGAATTTTGCAGTGGCATTTTGTTATCTTACGTCAGCAACCTGAAACTGAAATTTATTGAACCGCTGTAATATAATCATCCTTTAACAAAAGATATTGTTCAAAAATCTATTTTATTCCACTCTGTTTAGGATCAGACTGAATCTTACCTGTTAATGTATTTTACTGAATGCAGTCAGCGTTTATTGACATGCTCTGTCCGCCATGACATTTGCTGCTGTACAATTAATGCAAACTTAATTGCTATTACGACATGAACTTGCTCTTAATGCTTAACAGGCAATTTTCTGTATGGGTTTGTGTGTTTGTGCGTATGTGTCTTTGAAACGCTTGGAAATTTCAAAGAAAAACTGCAGGAAATTCTTTTCTTGGATCAATTTGCAAAAACTAAGATAGATAGATAGGAACAAAATGAGAGGGATAGATAGATGTTAATAGCCTGAGATAGATGGATAGAGAGAGAGAGAGAGAGATGGGAACAAACTGAGAGGGATAGATAGATAGATAGATAGATAGATAGATAGATAGATAGATATAAACAAACTGAGAGGGATAGATAGATAAATATTAATAACTTTAGATAGATAGATAGATAAATAAATAGATAGATAGATACATAGATAGTGATAGAGAGAGAGAGAGAGAGAGAGAGATATGAACAAACTGAGAGGGATAGATAGATAAATATTAATAACCTTAGATAGATAGATAGATAGATAGATACATAGATAGTGATAGAGAGAGAGAGAGAGAGAGATAGATAGATGTGAACAAACTGAGAGGGATAGAAAGATAGATAGATAGATAGATAGATAGATAGATAGATAGATAGATATGAACAAACTGAGAGGATAGATAGATAAATATTAATAACCTTAGATAGATAGATAGATAGATAGATAGATGAATAAATAAATAAATAGATATGATGGAGAGATAGAGAGAGAGAGAGAGAGAGAGAGATAGTGAACAAACTGAGAGGGATAGAAAGATAGATAGATAGATAGATAGATAGATAGATAGATAGATAGATAGATAGATATGAACAAACTGAGAGGGATAGATAGATAAATATTAATAACCTTAGATAGATAGATAGATAGATAGATAGATAGATAAATAAATAGATAGATAGATACATAGAGAGAGAGAGAGAGAGAGAGAGAGAGAGAGAGGATAGTGAACAAACTGAGAGGGATAGAAAGATAGATAGATAGATAGATAGATAGATAGATAGATAGATAGATATGAACAAACTGAGAGGGATAGATAGATAAATATTAATAACCTTAGATAGATAGATAGATAGATAAATAAATAAAGATAGATACATAGAGAGAGAGAGAGAGAGAGAGAGAGAGAGAGAAAGAGAGAGGAACAAAAAGATAGATAGATAGATAGATAGATAGATAGATAGATAGATATAGATATGAACAAACTGAGAGGGATAGATAGATAAATATTAATAACCTTAGATAGATAGATAGATAGATAAATATATAGATAGATAGATAGATAGATAGATAGATAGATAGATAGATAGATAAATAAATAGGTAGATAGATATGATTATAATGAGGTAGATATTAATAGCCTGTGATTGATAAATAGACAAATAGGCAAAGTCTGAGATAGATGGTTAGAATTGTGAATCACTTTAGATAAATACAAAAGAAAAATTGTTTGAAAGCTGAAAAATTGGAATTATGTGAAGGCTGACAGAAAAAAAAATTTTAGTAATTTTTTTTCCAAGATGGATGTTCCAGAAGCCTAACTGGATGAAGCACTTTGCCAGTGTCATTAAAATAAAGAAGATACTATTTGAATAATGCACCTCAGATGCACCATTCTCACTCCTCATTTGAATAACGACCACTACTCTCAGCTGGTGAACATCTGGTAAACGAAGGGTTAATGTCATTGGAAAAATGAATTAGCGGGCCGAGTTCAAATCCCAGCAGAGACAGTTTCCCTTCCTTTTACCTTTTATTGCTTCTGTCCCAGCTATTGGTGAGCTCATAGGGTAGTCTGGAATCTATAGCTTTGCTAGGGCAAACTCAACCAGAACTCTAAATTCAAAACTGTAGAGAACCCTAAAGACTCTTGCTACTCTATCTGTATTTTCTCTATCCATTGAAAATGTACATTTTTCAGTTCTTCCATTTCAGACTTTTAGAGCTAAGACCTGCCATGCCATTCATACTTTGTGTGAACCCGCCCTCATTACATTCAGATTCCATTAGTAAGGAAGAAGTTCACTATTTACATTATTCGGACTATTGTCATCATCTTTGTTGCCATATTTATCCGATCCTTCAGTATCTATCTATATTTCTGAGATGAGGTATTATGTACACTATTTACATTATTCGGGCTATTGTCTTCATCTTTGTTGCCATATTTATCCGATCCTTCAGTATCTATCTATATTTCTGAGATGAGGTATTATGTACTCTATTTACATTATTCGGGCTATTGTCTTCATCTTTGTTGCCATATTTATCCGATCCTTCAGTATCTATCTATATTTCTGAGATGAGGTATTATGTACACTATTTACATTATTCGGGCTATTGTCTTCATCTTTGTTGCCATATTTATTGTACACTCCGGCCTTCTTCAGGTGGTTGGAATGTCGACCTGAACCCTTTATTTCGCTCACTGGGGTAAACTGTTCTCGTTCCACGTGCCATGTCTAATGGATGTCAGTTATCAGTTATCTCCTGTTAATTCCTCTCTCCAAGTTCTCCACCGGCTTAACCAGGTATTGAACTCACACTCTTTGGGTCCTGTCACTGGATCTAACCTATGTCTTTATCCACTGTGTCCTTGGGGACATCTGTGGATGAATTTATGGGTATTATAAACCTAATACAATGGATCTGACAATCTTCAAAAGCTTGACGACACACTTCCCAGATATCTCTCCCAAGTAAGACCCCCCCCCCGCATAGAGGAGAACATGACTAAAGCCTGTGTGTACGCCATCCCATGATGCTGTGGAAAGAAATATAAAGGGGAGACAGGCCACCCCCTTAAGGCTTCAAGAATACCAGAAAACTGTAACACGAAGGGAAGTGAAAAAATCAGGTGTGGCTGACCACATATGGAGGGAAAATGATGATCACCACCCTCTGTGGGATCAGGTTGAGATCATAGACAAAGAACACCATTGGAAAATTCGTAAACTTAAGAAATCAGCACATATGCTAGGCCACAAAAATCTCTTGAGCTGACTAAGCATAGAAATGAATACAATATGGGAACCAGTAATAAGGAGTGCCAGAGACAAGCAATACATTGCAATATGAGCTCTGGTAAAAACATGTGTGATAACAGCAAAAATTGCAATATGAGCACTGGCAAAATGATTGTTGAGAAAATATATTAAGTAATTGTCAGACTTAATCCATTTCATAATATATCTATTTATGTCTCAGCTTGTTTTATCTATCTATTTGTCTATCATTCTATCTCAGACTGTTTCCATCTATGTATCTCAGCCTGTTCATATCTATCTATCTATCTATCTCAGCCTGTTCATATCTATCTATCTATCTATCTATCTATCTATCTCAGCCTGTTCATATCTATTTATCTATCTATCTCTGTATGTCCATATCTATCTATCTATCTATCTATCTATCTATCTATCTCAGCCTGTTCATATCTATCTATCTATCTATCTATCTATCTATCTATCGATCTCTGTATGTTCATATCTATCTATCTATCTATCTCAGTCTGTCCATATTCGTCTGTCTATCTATCTCACCTTCAATGAATTTTCTCGATCAATCACGAAACATATCTGTTGAGGACTGTGTGTGTTTGCGTGCTGTTGTATTAGAAACACGGGTGTAACTCCTGGTAGAATATTAAAAGGTCCAACTACAAGAAAATGGCCGGACTTGAATTAAGTCCAACTGAAGATGTAAAGAAGACAAACAAAACCAATATATATATATATATATATATATATATGTATTAAACAAAACAATTTTGCAATGAACAATAATATTTGCGTATTTAAACATTGGTGTTTGTTCTTTGGTGAATGTTCGTACGTGCATGTATGTGTGTATAATGTTCATGGCATTTCCCACAAATGGGAAGACGCGGATCTTCTAAGAGAGCTTACATTGTAGTCGCTGAAATGAAGAAAGAAAAAGAGAACAAGGCGAGAAGTCGCCTAGTATTTATAGTATAGGAAGAATGACCCCTAGTGGTAATTTGGAAGTTAAGGAGGAGTTAACTCTGACATATCTTAACGTAAACAATGACAACATATTATGAAATGGATGAAGTCTGACAATTATTTAATATATTTGATAACTAGACACTTCTCTGTGGCTAAATAGTTATCACTGGTAAATGCAATTAATACTGTTTAATTAAAAAGCATAGAATTTATTTCAATAAACTGTATCTATCAAAATAACATATGACCCTAAGATATATTATTTACATTATTCAGACTATTGTCCTCATCTTTGTTGCCATATTTATTACAACATTTCAGCCATTATAAACTCTGACCTTCTTCAGGTGGTTGGAATGTCAAACTGAACCCTTTATTTTGCTCACTAGGGTTGATTGTTCTAGTTCCACGTGCCATGTTTGATGGATGTCAATTATCAGTTACCTTCTGTTAATTTCCCTCTGAAAGTTCTCTACTGCCTTAACCGGGTATTGAACTCACATTCTTTGGGTCTGTCACTGGATCTAATCAACACCTTTATCCACTGTGCCATGTGTCATCTGGGTATGAATTTCTGGGTATTATAAACCTAATGTTTTCAGCAACCATTTTTACCAGTGCTCATACTGCAATTTTTGCTGTTATCATTCCATGCTTTTACCAGAGCTCATATTGCAACTTTTGTTGTTATTATCGCTTTTCTCTGGCACTCCTTATTACTGGTTCCCATATTGTAAAAATGGTTGCTGAAGAAATTAGGTTTATAATACCCATAAATTCAAACACAGATGTCCTCAAGGACACATGGCACAGTGGATAAAGTACATAGGTTAGATCCAGTGACAGGACCCAAAGAGTGTGAGTTCAATACCCGGTTATGGCAGTGAAGAACTTTCAGAGATAACTGATAACTGACATCCATTAAACATGGCACTAGAACAGTCTACTCCAACCACCTGAAGAAGGTACAACAGCCGAAACATTGTAATAAATTTTATTATGTTTTAAATTGGCAACAAAGATGAGGACAATATGAATAATGTACACAATACCTCATCTCAGAAATATAGACAGAAACAGAATATATATTAAATATATATTAAATAACTGTCAGAGTTCATAACTCTCCATTTCATTGTATATATATATATATATATATATATATATATATAGATAGATAGATAGATAGAGGGAGAGAGAGAGAGAGAGAGAGAGGAAGTAGAGGGAGATTTAAGTAAGTAAACAGACTTAGGCAAAAGATAATGAATGACTGCAGAATATAAATGCCAAAAAAAAAAATCAGGCAAACAACTAACTATATGACCATTTTATTGTTTTTCAAAAAAGAAATACACTTTAAACTATGAGATAATGCAAAAAGGGAAGGGGGAGATAATTCTGTTTTTACCCAGGCCTTGAAATGAAAGCCATTAAAAGCTAATATGAATAATTTGATAGTCTAAAATCAATGCTGTCAGGCAAATAATAATAGCCAAGTACAAAATCTGCATTGAAAATAAGTTCCATTAAATGAACCTTCAGAATAAAATGGATTAAAAACAGCAGACAATTTTAAGCCACAAAATCAATGTGGACAGTGTAGAAATTAGAATTACATCTTAAATGCTGTTTTTTCTTTTGGAAGAGTCCATTTTCTAAAATCATTTCTACAGGTACTGAATGCATGGTAGGGGACAAAAGGGATACAATAAAATAAAAGGAAGAATCTGCAATATTATTGGTCCTCATCTGGCACTGTCCTGGGTATGATGATAAACTACATCCGGCAGCAAGGCATTTGATCAGAAGGTTTTGAGGAGCATGGAGCCACCTCTTAATTGCTGCTTAACTTGCTACCACCCTGACCCAGAGTGGTAGCAAGTTTATTTAAAAAATTCAGGTAAGACTATTATATCTGCTACTACTAGGACCAAAGTAAAAGAAAAATAATAAAATTGACTAATGCGTTATCTAGTAAATTCAGTGCCAGGGGATTAGAATATTTGCTTTCTGACCATGAGATACGGGTTCAAATCTCATAGTGTTTGATTTTTCAAGAAGGTGATATTATTGAATTTATCCGTCTTGAAGGAGGCATTCCTAGCATATGGCACCTTTGGAAAGTGCCTGAAAACCATACCACAGTTTAGATCTGCCATAGACCAAATTGGCCACGTAGGACATCCTGATCAAACAAAGCCTGAATAGAGCTTTTGAAAACATATCCTCTCTCCAATTCTCGAAATATACATAGCTGCTCTGTTTTGTATCCTAACATAAACTCTGACAATTTTTTAAGAAACGGATTAAATTTGACAGATTTTTAAATTTAATTGTTTAAACATTATTTTTTTTTATTTTTCAAACAAGATTTCTCAAATTTTCAAGCCGGCAGAAAATAAACAAATATTCTAATTAATAAATAAATAAAAACAGAGCATCCATTTCAAAAACAACTTTTAAACAAATGAATTAAAAAATCTGTCAGATTTAATCCATTTCCTAATATATATATATATATATATATATATATATATATATATATGTGTGTGTATAGGTATATGTATGTGCATATAGGTACGTGAGTGTGTATAGGTGTGTGTATAGGTGTATACATGTGTGTGTATAAGTATATATTTATATAAAATTGTGTATCTTTA